ATTTTTTTCCTTTCTCGTAATACTATTTATGTTTTGAAAAAAATTGAAGTAAACTAACAATTTTTCACCACGTTCTTACAAAAAGAATATTTTTTAGCCGACTAGTTGTGGTTTAATTGTTGCTCTCATAATACTAACCACAGGTGACGCTTTTGAAAAGACTTCTTGTAGGAACAGTTCACAGTCTTTAAAGGACGGTCGATCTTTAGGATTGAAATTCCAACAGTTTTTGATGAAATCATATCTAAATAAGCAATTGCCAGTTCTTTAAAACAAATCAGTAATGGATAAAAAAAGTGCACTTGATTTAATACATTCTTTGAAAATCAAAAAAAAACATGAAATACTTGCATCTATAAAACGGTAAATTAATTAGCGATATTCTGGTCATCTAAAGTTTTAGTTTAATTTGCTTTTTTCGGTTTGTAATTGTAAAAATTGCGTCAAGCTGCCAATCTACAGAGTAAAACAATGGTAGACTGACATAAATGTTGGGCAGGAAGGTGGTTTTTGCGGATGGTTTCCGGTACAAATATGTTCATAAAGTTTTTTATTATCGTCGAATTCGTTGTATGGTAGCTCTCCAAATGAAAACAACTCCCACAAAAGAACACCGAATGACCAGATATCCGACTGTAATATGCGAATGTAAGACCTGCCACTAAACGGGAGAAGTTCAAAAGTGAAAGAAAATGTCAAAGAAACCTTTGTTACTGTGGAACTGAAATTAATAAAAACAAAAAAAAAAAACTGGGTTAAGCAGCATAACGTTAGATGGATATGAAACATTCTGTATAAACCACCACAGTGACTTACTTTCTCTGAAAAAACAAATGTCTTAAGAGCTTCAGGTGACATCCATCTGATTGGCAACGGTGTATTACTCTTCATTTGATAAAGTGGTCTTTTTTGTCGAGCTAAACCAAAATCGGCAATTCGAACGATCCGATTTTCAGTCAGCAATATATTTCTTGTGGCCAAATCTCGATGTATGCACTAAAAAAAGCTTACATGTTAAAAAAAGTAGCACTTACCAACTATATGCGTAATTAAAACGTACCACCGTTTTTAAAAAGCAATCAATGCTATAAAACTTGCTAGAAATAATCTGTATTTTATAAAAGATAAAAACAATAACAATACCAACTTGGCTTTGAGTTTAGATTCGATAATTTCAACAAGACTAGAATAAGTGGTTTATCGGTACCTAAGCTTAGACCTTATAATTTGAATAAGCTTGGCCCAGTGTTTTAAAAATTCATAAGTTAGGTTTATTGATTTGAAGAAGCCTTTAGTTAATACTGTAAAGGAGATTAGGTAGAGTAATTTAGGTACATTTACGCTAAGTATTTAAGATATTCTTGAGTTTAATAGTCAGGAGAAGCATCTACTTGATCTTAGAGCTGAGCGTAGTGCTGTGATCAGATTTATGCTTAAAGCTAGTTAAGAAAAAAGAATGAAAAAAAGTAGGAATAGGAACACAAATGAAATTAAACGTAGCGTTAGTAATTTTAACAGTAGTGAAGAGAAAAGTCAAAACGAAACTAACAACAAGAATGAAAGTAAGAGGAGAAGTAAGAATAAAAATAAAAATTTAATTGAAGGTTAGGGTGGGCATAGAAAGCTAGGAATAAAGACGAAGGCCAAAATAACGTTGAAAATGACAAAACGAGCAGGAAGAAGATTTATGGTAAAATAGGGGTGGAAATAAAAATGAGGTTTGAGGTAAGTGTAATCATAAAAATGACAAGATGGATAAAGAGTAAAATAAATATAATAAAAATAATTATTATGCTAGTAAAAATAATGATAGAAAGAGAAACGAAAATAAAAATGGGCTTATTCTTAAGCCCGGTTTTAAAACTTACTTCTTTGATCACATTTAAGGAGTTGGCTTAGTTGAAGAAGAAAAATAAAGAAAATTCAGTATAACGACAGAAATAAAAGCAAAAAGTGGCAATAAAGATAAAATTAAATTATAAAGAAAACTTTAGGTTCTCTTAAGAGATCCTAACAAAGAGGGAATTTTTTAAACTTAATTCAAAAAATACTTGCCGATTTACTTGTCAAATAGTTCATTCCGGAAGCAATTTGGTAACCAAAGGATATCAGATCAGTGGTGGAAAAATATTTGTTCTTACAACGTAAAAGATCATTAGCTTCGTCATCGTTTTTGTCACTTACACCCTATAAGATACAGTAATGACAAAATTTTTAACGCACTATAAAAAAACTTGAAAAACTTTTTCAGTATAACGTTCAATACCTTTCGAAGTTCACTTCATTTACTTACTCTTTTTCTTTAAAGAAAAAATATAAAAATATTCTAGGTTTTTAGAACAAATTTTTAAATTTATCCAATCTAAACGTTGACAGTTACGTTGAACGGCTGAAGTAGCTTTCGTTGGTCAGAGTTTGCTAGCAGATAGCCGTCTTCCGATATTTGCTCCGTGATAAGTATCTCGTCACAGTACTTACTTTGATTTAATATCAAGAATCTTCGTAGGTCACCCAGACGGCACAGTTCGTAAACAACACAAAAGAACTGCCTTGAAAAAAAATAAAGCACCAAAAAAACAGTCATTTTATTAATAACTTCTTAAGTATGTCTACAATCATCGCTTATGCTGCTTCTGTAATCTGATAAATATAATTTTTTGTTGCTCTTATACAATATTCTTTCTCTTTTTTTTCTGTTCGCCTTTTTACAAAGGATTTATAACTTTTACATTGAAAAATTCCTATAATGACTAAAAAATTTAGTCTAAAAAACTTTAGAAATTTCCTCCTTTCATCCGTTTTTAACTTTGCAAACTTCTCTTCTTCCAAAACCCTGTTTTATGGTAACAAGTCAAGTGTCTTCATAAACAACACTTTTTCTCCTTGAAAAAATTTAGTTCCATTCACAACTCTTAGTAGCTCTTACTTCATTAGCTCTTACTTCCAATTATCGCTTTTATTATGCAACCAAATGCTTTGACTGTCTTAAAAAATCGAGGTACTGTGGTACTGTAGAAACAGGCAGATGAAATAAACTGTTATTAAAGGTAATTAAGAAAAGCAAAAAAGCTACATGCTTATTGCATTATATCTGAAGCTTTTGAATGACGATAAACTTTTGTAATCGGAAGAACAAAAAGAGTTCAGCTACTAAAACCGAAAAAAGTTGAAAGGCTACCGTGAAATTTACTGACAGAATAAAATGTCTAAAAATTGGAAAACCACTATGCTTATATATCTTACTATTATTTTTCATCAAAATATAGCTGAAATAGATGCAAACCAAACAGAATCAGTTTTCTTTTAAAATTAGTACCAGCTAAAAATAAAAACATTTCTGACCAACATTCCGCTTATTTTAGAGAGCAAAGCAATGTATTTCTTCAGGCATTTGATCTCTGTTTTTAATGAAAAGATAGTTCTAAATAAAGATCAACTGACATCTGGTAAACAGTTGCTTCCAGATGAGTACCAGAAACTTTTCAAATTCTAAATATTCACTTCCACAAGTTCATTAATAGCTCTTATTAGCTGTAAATTATCCTATCCTTGTCAGTTTTCTGAGTTTAGGCAAATATGATTAAAGTTGAGAAGCATGGCCAACAAAACAGGACCCCACATAAAGAATTTAAATTACTTTTTAATTTATGAAACAAAAACCCAGACAATAATAATTGTTTGAAATGATCTATTTTGTTGTAATAGGTTGTTTGTTTGCACATTTTGCAGACAATGACATTTTCAAAAAACTCGGGGTTGAATTGTTGACCTAATTGCTTTGACTATACAAACAAGATACTAATTAATTCCGTCTAGCTCTAGATTTTCAAATCCTCAAATCCGACAGTTCCTTATCTTGCGTTATGTAGCATGATAAATAATACAACAATGAGTTGAATCTGCGTAACTGCTAAGCTTTACAAAAAAGCCACCAAAATCTATAAATTAATGAGCCCATTTGTAAACGATTTTACGAACAGTTGCTGCACACATTGTCTTAATAAGCAAAACTAGTGAAAAAACAATTATTCATGGAATATAAATAAGAAGCACAAGAACGAAGAGGTGCACTCGTTCAAAAAACTTGAGTATATGAAAAATTGCAAAAACCTTACTTGGAAATATGTTGAACAACAGCACCAATGAAGCACAGAATATTTGGATGAATACCAACAGCAATCATTATTCGCATTTCATCAACCAGTGCTTTATAGTGCTTAACGTCATATTTGTCACGAGGCATTTTTACCGCTACCTCGATAGATTCAGGATTTCCAGTTTCTTTCTGAAGACGGCAAAGTAGCACAATTCCGAATTCGCCGCCACCTAATTTCTTCTGTAAAATTTCCCGCTGTAAGGTTAACGATGTTTTACGATAAATTTTATCTTTCACTTATGTCTAGTAGCTCACTGTACCCTCGTAGTGTAATTTCGGTAAAAACAAACAAAAATAGATACCTTGTCAGGAATTATGTTATCTTTTCTAATTTCATATTTCTGGTCGTAGGGAAGTTGTTCTATGCGTTCATGGAGCGGCAATGTCTGATCAACCACCTTATCTGGGGTGTCAGGGGGTTCAGTAAGCTGTTTTAATAACCCCTTCAAACGAGCAACTTGTGAACGGTGATGCAGCTTTTGATAGACAATGTAAGCGAAACACATCATGAGAAGAATAAGTCCAATAAGACTAATGCATAGTATAAGGATAATCTGAGTTCCGCTCATTTTGATGACAGGCTGCAGCTGAAATCCGAAAGATAGGTTAATGCAGTGTTTTTCAGAATTCTTCTTTGGGTAATATGTGCTTTTTCTTAAAATCTTTAAGACGAACAAAATACATTTTTTCTCATGAAACTGCCAAGCACCTTAAACAGTGAAAATCAGTCGGCAATTTAATCGTGAACATTCATTTTCTCTAGTGACTTCCAATCCTCTGGTCAAATATGTTGAAATCGGACTGCTATCAGACATCAAAAAAGAGCTAATTTTGAAGTTTGTCACTTCTTAAGGATTTCTTTAGGCTACTAACAGTATTAGTGAACTATTATTTTTTAAAAAACCGTCCGAACAATATTTACAAATTACAACTACCACCTTACGCTCCGCCAATTCATCTCTTAGTTTTTTGCCTGAAGCAGCTGTTCTCACTGATAATGAGACTTTACTTAAAGGTTAATTAGCAAATTTAGCAATTTATTAGGAAACTCTAAAATTTGATATGATGAACAAACTTCAGCTGTCACTTCATCTTCATCGTACTCACAGTGATAGGTTCCCCACTGCGGAGTAAACAAGGAGGTGTCGATTGTGAATCTTTGTGTGTAATTTATTATTGCTGAATGCGGTAAAAGTATTTCATCGCCTTTCCACCACGCAGCACTGCAAAACTGCAAATTATCTACAATATTTAGCAGAACCCAGTTGTCTGAATTTCAGAAACTCTCAAAATGTTATCTTACAAAGTGTTGCTCATTGGAATAACACAGGTCAGGAAGGTGACTCCGTTTATATTTTCCATTTCTACGTAAGCCTCGTCAGTACCTGTTACATTTACTTCCAGTTCAGCAACCTGAAGAAAACTTTCAGTTACTCATGATTTGCGTAAACAGTGCTCTTTGGTCAAGAGTAACCATTCCTACCTTATTACTGGTAGTATTTAAGCATCGAAATTGAAAGTCGTTCTCAGCTAAAAATGACCATTTTAAAGAAGAGCTATCGGACATCTTCTTAGTGATAACCTCTTTTGCATTTACATCTTCCCAAAATTGAGCCCCAAATCTGAAAAAATATATTTTTGGAAAGAATTAAGCAGTATTCCATTGTCTATACCGTAAAAAAGTTTGAAACAGCCTCAATATAGAGATTTTTTCATTTTCATACGATGACTCGTTCGAGAAAACAAGTGTAATAAAGCAGTTTTGTGGTATCCCACAGCTGATCTTGGTTTTTCACTTGAAAAACGAGTATTCAAGAGAAATACCATGAAACTCTTACATTTTCTTTTGCAATTTAAGGTCTTCAATTTTTCCGTCATATGTTGAACAAGACACAGTACCGTTTTTTCTCCATATCAAGTAATTATCAATCGTCCCATAATCACTGTTAAATTCAATTTCAAAACTTGGGTTTTTCGACAAATAAGTCGCTTTCCAGGCAAAGGACGTGTTAAATTTTGGCCCAAGGGTCACTTTTAAAACGTAACTGAAGCAAAACAAACATATAGTTAGAAAATGTTTTTGAATAAAAATTAGTGATATTAGAAAAATCACAAGATCTTGAATTTTTTAAGCGTCAAGGTTTTTTGTACAGAATGGCTGCTGTATGAAAGCAAAAAGTCAGTTGTTTTAACAAAAGTGAGTATTTAAGGTTCTGATTGAAGAAAAAAAAAAA